CGCCACTGAACTGAGGAGTTTGGTACCTCAAAAAAGGTTAAGAACCACTGTGTTAGAGTAAGAACTTTAAAACAAACTCTAAAATCTATAGGAGGCCAATGTAGAGATGTGTGAAAGGGTTGACTTTTCCAAACTAGCAAACAGGGACTGCAATATTCTAATTGCAGGAACACAAATAAATGTTATTTCTGTTATTAGGTCAGAGCAGGGAAGTGCTGTGAAGGCCTATGGTAATTGCAGGATTTCTTATTATTTTTTCAACAAAGTACACGGCTTTTTGGAGGCTTTAAAATATTCAAAAACTCACCAAACTTCACCCAAAATTGTCCCCAAACTAAAATTTTGGGATTCTAGTGGAATTGCAAGGGGGCGTGCCCAAACTGCTCTACACCACCCCCTAACGTGAGAAAGGGCAATCAATAGGTCGTAGACATCTGAAATTAGGTATATAGGTAAATCCCCCCCAAAATCAAGAAAAAAAAGTCACATTGAGGTACCTCCTAAAATGTACAGGGATGTGGCCATATTGGGTCAAAGGGCACATTTTGGTGATTTTTCACTTCTCAAACTTTAACAAACTCCTCCTTGGGTTCTGGCATACACTTGCAAATGGCACTAACTTAATCAGAAACATGGATCTGGGGCACTACTGGGATACAGCGGGGACAATACTGGGACACTACAGGATACTATTGAGACACTTCTTGAACACCACTGGGACACTACAGGATACTATTGAGACACTTCTTGAACACCACTGGGACACTATTGGGACACTGCTGGGACAGTATTTGGACATTGCTGGGACAATTTTGGGACACTGCTCGAACAGTATTTGGACATTGCTGGGACAGTATTTAAACACTGCTCGGACAGTATTTGGACATTGCTGGGACAGTTTTGGGACACTGCTGGGACCCTGTTGCACAGGTTGAGACAGATAAACCTATGCTGCCATTGGGACAATCCACATGTCTCACCATTATCAGAGGCTGTGACAGTAACATTGTAGAGATTGTTCTTGATAAAGGGAGACTCTCGATCAAGGATGGCGATGGTGGAAATCCTTCCGTACACTGGGTCGATATCCAGCCAGCTGGCTGGGTCATAGATCTTGGAGTATCTGAGGTCAGAGAGAGAGAGGCAACCTGAGAAGCCAATATGAAGTAGTTTTTTTTCTGTGCAACTGAATATATAGTAAGCAGAACCTGGAGACTGGAAGAGACGATCACAACTTATTAAAGCATGTTCACTAGATATAATACTAATCTGAACACAATATACATAAATCTATGTAGATTTGTTTTTAATGAAGCCATAAACTTTCATCCATGTTGTGCAAAAAATAAAAAATCATAATGGCCTTCCTTAATTTGATTTTTATATAATTTAGATCAGGGGTCCCCAAACGTTTTCCTGAGAGGGACACATAACGTTTCCCTTCTCTGGTGGGGGGCCGGAGTCAATTTGTAGCAGAAAAATTGTGACGATTGCTGGAGTGCCTAAACGTAAAAACGTATTGTTTTCCAGAAAGCACAATCAAATAACCCTCTCTGGGTTCTTTACAGAACAAAAGTCAGGAAATAAATTATAACACTATTAATGAAATAACCAAATAACCCTTTGGTTATTTTTTCTTCACAGAAAAAATCCAGGAAATAACACTATTTATGAAATAAATATCATATGTTCCGGACTATAAGCACACCGGACTATAAGC